TACTTATTATTCTGGTTGAGTTCGTCTTGTGCAGAGCAGGCGAAGTGCTCCGCAAATATTAAATCTGTTTTTTTGAATCGGAACAAAATTCTATATTATCGTGAGAGAATTGCGCGGAAGGGGCTCATTCTGAGGTGTGGACAATTTCGAGTGGTTCGCTAGGAGGTCGGGACATGAGGGAATCGGGCTTGCGGTTGGGGATGCACGCGGCAGCGTTTTGCGGTTGCAGACCAAGTCAGATCAAAGGTCATCGATCGAATTAGGCTGGACGGGGTGGATCCAGCAGTGTATCGTGCGTGCGTCAGACCCACCTGTGCGACTCGTGTGGGAGTGAACAGTCGTAGGACGTTCAAGGCAAAAGCAGCCACCCAAACGGTACAGTGTGGAGAGGAGAGCAGCAGCAATTCGTCACCACACCACCTGTGAATCAGAAAGTGCACGCCTGATGTCATTGGCCTCAAGTTTGTGCAGGGCAGACGTGCATTTCTAATGACATGCACAATCTCACTACATGTCATTGGAGAACACAACGGAAAAGCCAGTTTCATGCAGGGTACACTTTCGATGTTTCTGCCCGAATTCAAGGAAAAGGTGGTGTGTATTGTGGGGCAGTCACCAGATGTTTGACCTGGTTGATTTGAGGCAACCTTCGATTTCGCAGTATCTTATATTTTTGGCGCCTTCTTTGCAATAAATTCTGTTCTCCGCACATGTTTTGTTCTCGTTCAGTGTTCACAATTCGACACCTGTCCAGTTGAGCAAGCAATCAACGGCGTTGGCTGTTCCAACTTCGAATTGAACATCCTACTTCCAGAATGTACGATTTCAAAAGAAGGTTAGAGATCCGTTATATATTACAGTCAACTCGTGTACTACACTTCAAAAAAAAACTACTTGTCATGCAAGAGTATATGTGACACTTGCACTGTCTGGCCTATGTTAGCAAGTTGTGCAGGGGCTGTTTGATCTTTATATTCGACTAATACCTTCAACATTTACAGACACCTATCTGGCAACCCTTCTCTCCAGTGAGGTCTGGCAGACAGCAATATATACATTGTTGCTAAAAACCAAACCTTTCAAAATCCGCTTGCAAACCCTTCAGAACACTGAAGACTGCCATCATGAAGATGACTAAAAAAAAATTGTTAACACCAGAATTACAGAGTCTCTTCAAGCAAAGTGGAAGGGTTTAGGGTTCAAGCAAATGTCAGCTAGGAAGAACACCGCAACTAGACAGGCATGCTCGCCATGTTTATGGAAAAACTGCAGCGCACGCCCCCAAAAATTATTAACTTCTGGTAACCTTGATCCTGTTCGCCATGCGCCTCTTCGCCGCCCACTCAAAAACAGATTCCGTTCCTGCGGCGGCGGCAGAGCCAGTGGCATAAGCACTTCCGCCTTTCGCCCCGCTCCCGGGGCTTTCTGAAAGCGGTCTTCCAAAGCTGAAGGCGGAACTTTCGCCAAGGCTTCTTCTCGACTGCGTGCGGGAACTGCTCGGGGTACCAGAAACCGCGGCGCTTCCGTTGACATGCGCGCTTCTGGACCGCGAAAGGCTCGGGCTCGCAGGGAACAGATCGAACGTCGCGGCGCTCGCAGAAAACAGCGGAGACGACGCTCCAGACGCTGTCGGGTCGCGATCTTGAGATGCGACGGAAGTAGTATCAGAGCTGCTGTCGCTCGAAGGTCCTCCGAGAGGCGAACTGCGCGTCGACGCGGCGGCTGCATCGTTGACGGAGTTGGCTAGGCGAATCATCGGGCTGCTATTTGACCGGACGGGCGGGAGTGCGCATCCGCTGCGCTGAAGGAGCTCTTGGCGCGCAACGGCTTCCGCCGCGGTCCTTTGCGCCGCGGGCTGCGCAGACGATCGGGCTGCGCCTGTTCCGCCCGTCGCGCGGTTCCACATCATGAGACGGCGGTCGATCTGCGCGAATTTTGTGGGGTTACCACTGGTGGTAGTACCGCTGGCGGAGGACGAAGAGGAGGAAGCGGCGGCGGAGGCGGTGGAAGAAAATGTGTACAGGTCTCGCGACTTTATGTACGCATCTTCGGCGGACGAGGCGGTGGTAGAATGAAACGCGGCGGTTTCGTAAAAGCAGTTGGATGGGCTCGACTGTGACAGGCGGTGGCAGGGAGAAGTCGGCAATTGGACTCGAGGGCGGTTCGCGACGGTGGACGCCATTTCGATCTTGAATGAGATTTTGCGAAGCTAGGATGGTCTTCCAGGCTCGGCTTTGAAACGGCCAATGAACCTGAAGAGAAAAACCGTCCGCTCAAAAATGGACTATCTCGGCCTTCTGAAGGATTTTTTCGGAGGCAGCGGAGCGGCCTCCTTCGGCTAGGCTATGCAGGCCTGACGGTTCGGAGTTCTACACGATGGCGGTATCTTGGTCCAGGAAGGCGGGGAAATAGAGAGTCAAGAAGCGTCGCCGCTCTGGAGAGCGTGTCTGCCGGTGCGGAAAATGAGAAGATCTCAAACTGCTAGCTTTACTTTGCGGAAAGAAGTCAGGGAAATGGTGGGAAATCCGACCTCAGCAATAGATACAGCTGTTCGAGCAGCAATAAGTGGAATGATCAAACTGGCCAGAACGATCCGCCCTGCTTTTGAGCTCGTTGCCCTCCCTCCTGCTGCTGGCTATTCTTGTGTGGCTGCATTTTTCTCCTCGACAGACACCTCCCGCCTCTGCGGGGAAATCCGCAGCGCGATCCCGCGCCAGTTGGCATGGCTTGGGGTTGGAGTGGGGTTGGAGTGGGGTGGGAGGGGGGGGGGGGGGGCTACTCCAAACCGTCTTGCGGAAACGGGTGCCAGCGGAGCGACAGGCTGGCGGAAATCGACACACTCTGTGGATGCTGGAGTCTGGAATGCGGCGGTGGCGGTGTGCTGTGCTGTGCACTCTGTTTCTCGATGTTTGAACAAACGGGAGCCCCGGCTACAGTGCGCACGTATGCTTGGATTCAGCGGGGTGGTGCTTGCAACCGAAATGCACTTCAGGAGAACGGTATAGAACGGTTAATGAAACAAATGTGCTTTTGAGTTTGGTTTCATGCGGCAAAACTGCTTATACGGTATGTTCTTGGACCAATTTGGACGCGTTGACGTCAGTACAACCGGCTTGTCAATATGCTGAATGTGAGTATGGCGCGAAACAGGGTGTACTACAAACCGAAGGCAGCGGCGGGGGAGCAACCCGACCTCGCTGGGGGCAGTTTTGTTACCCATATTTCCCCCGGGCACGTGCGAACAAGTCGGAAAAACACAAACAATGTACCCTGTCAGTATATTGGATGAGGGAGGGGGAGGTTGTGATGTGACGGACGGCTGGTGTCCGTCAGAGAAGTGTACAGATCTTCGCGTTTGAGGTTCCTAAAGTACATCAGCACCTAGGTCGTGTACGTGAGGATGACATTTCAAAGTGGGTCTGTCAATTCGGCATTTTGACACTCTGCTGGCAGAGTGTCAAGAAATTGCAGGTTGCCAGCCAATACAAATCGTCGGACACTTTTGAAATTGGCACAGACAAACCTACAAACGAGAGAAGATGGTCGCAGGTGCCAATCTCACGACCAGATGCTGCCCAATCAGCACACAACATGTCTTTTGAATTGTTCGTTGCCTAGCAGATCTACCCATGACAAATTCTCAAACCAATGAAATTGCGTAACTGATGTTCACACCTGCGCTTCGACTTGACACTCCTGCCACAGATTTGACACTCTAATTTGAATGGGATTCGGATTGACAAGCTCTCACCTGACATGTCAACCCTACGGACACGAAATTACTGGCCTTCGAGCAAATTAGTACTGGTTGAAGTGCAGAGGACATCCATCAGTACGACTATTGAAGTTCCAGACTTTTGTTCTACGTTTTTTCCCAAACTAGGTGAACTGTGAACCGAAAGAACGAAAACAAACGCAAGTAGTTTGCGAAGCTTCCTCTGAAGCTGTCACTTCTGTAGCTTCTTAGTGGATTGGGCTGGGTTCACTTTTCGTAAAAAGTAGATTGGACACGTCATTCATGCGTGTAACTTCATCACATTACGCCACTTCAGGACAAATCGTTAGACAAGACAAACGGAACAACAATGTGTGGGGAGCTGGACATGTCAACACGATTTACGCTATCAAATCTTCTAGTATTCTGTTACAGTCGATCTACCGTGCCAATGCTTCCGAACTGTACACATAAACCCACATGAAACAAGCAACACTAGAAATTTACAGATACATTGACTAAGACGTGGGCCCAATCGAGTTTGATCGCCTCGATCACAGGCGATTAATAACTTCCAGGAAGCCTGGAATCCGATTTCATGCGATCGGAGGCGATCAGCTGATCGCGAACAGCAGATCGCCCCAAGTCGATCATACCCGATCAGAGCCAATTTTCCTCGATCAGAGCCAATTTTCCTCGATCACAGGCGATCACTGGATTGCATGTGATCGGGGCCCACAACGATGCTTGCGAGCAGTTACAATGTTGCGCTGACCGTGAAACGAACACTTTCGCCAAGTGAAGTCTGGTCGTCAGTCTCGCTAGAATGGGGACGAAGCTGCTGGGTAAATGTATTGCGCTTGCTCGACAGGCGCTGGCAGACTTCTTCAAAATTCTAGTCGCGCGGCTCGGGCAATGCGATCACAAGCAACCCGATCAGATCCGATCCGATCAGATCAGTCGCTATCAAACTCGATTGGGCCCGCGTAGTTATCTACAGATGTTCGATGTTCAATTGGTCACGGTCAGAACAGCAATATCGCAAAGCTCACAGTACTACTGCTGGCTGTAACTGTTCGAATTCCGCTGGGGTGTTCTGTTCAGGACTGTTGACAGCGCTTCTGTCCTCTGCTTCTTTGTCTTGCCAGTTCAATTTCTTGAGATATTTCCCGCTGCAACACACTCGATCCTTCAATGTGGTCGAATGGACTCGTACATAAAATATAACACCCATTGAGTTTGCACGATATTCCTCAAGAGTCTCTTACATTTAATATGACACCCGTCAGTCCTTATGAATCTTGGCTTCTGTTTCCCGGTGACGCAAAATGTACCATCGTGAGTAAATCTGCAATGATAAGGCTAAATGGGCTTTTACCAATGCAATAATCAACACAGTACCTATGACAACCAGTGGGGTGATGCTTCGGGAGAGCAGAGGGTGGCCGGCAGGAATAAACAACGCAATGAGCGGGCTGGCAACTCGAATAACCTGGGCAGAACAAAAAACCCGTGGAGGGTTCAAAAGGGGTCAGTGCCACAGGGGGGTGCAATGCAAAGGGATGGGGGGGGAGGAGGAAAGGGGAAAGATATTTCGGGATGAAAGCAAGGTTCTTAGAATTATGAGTGAAAGACGGTGGGCAGTGAGGCGTGCAATGCAACCTATGTTGCGGTTCGGGTGATAGCAGCAGCTACTGACATGGCACCCACCGTCACCACACTAGACCCATAACAAAACTCATCCCTTCCCAGCCCAGGCAGTTACTAACAATGTACCCATCATCACCGCACCGCACCCACCACCACCCATCACCCCCTCTATGCCCCCCAACTCACAATGCACGCCGGCCCGGGAGGAACGAAGCTCATGCTACGGTGCAAGAGGCGGGAGCGAAAAATCACAATGTACCCATCACCACCGCACAACACCCACCACCACCCATCACACCCGGCCCCCCACCCCCTTACCCTGGCCCCAACTCACATTGCACGCGGGCCCAAGAGGAACAAAGCTCATGCTGTGGCGCACATGGTGACAGCAGCCCCTCAACCACAACGCACCCACCATCACCGCACCTCACCCACCACCCCCTGCTCCCCCCACCCCCCCACCCTTTCCCCCAACAACTCACATTGCACGCGGGCCCAAGAGGAACGAAGCTCATGCTGCGATGCACGTGGTGACAGCGGTCCTCCAGGACCTGACGAGGAGGAGGAGGAGGAGGAGGGGGGAAAAAGGGTTTGAGAAGAGGTGGTAGCAGGGAAAAAAAGGGAGGACGCAGAGTGGAGTTAGGGCAACGGTGAGGGCAGTGGTCAAGAAAAAGAAAAGCGAGAAATTCGTGAGGTGCATGTGATGGTAAAAAAGAACAAAAAAAAAAAGACGATTTTTTAGTCGAGAGGTGCATGGTAAAATCGTCTCATCACACAGGGAGAGAGGTGCATGTGATGGTAAAAAAAAAAACGAAAAAGTGGGTGGGAGTAGACTTTTGAGTCGACTCAAAAGTCACCTCAGTAGGCGGGGAGTGGGGAGGGATTGTCTAGGGACAGTTCACCTGTGTGCGGAGTGGTCTATCTGTCTGCCTGCAGAGTGCTTTATCTGTCTGCTGAGTGGTTCAGATGTCTGCAGAGCGGTTTACCTGTCTGCAGAGCGGTTTACCTGTCTGCAGAGCGGTTTACCTGTCTGCAGAGCGGTTTACCTGTCTGCAGAGCGAGAGGAGGAAGTCGGAGTACGTCTCAGGCTTGATCTCGTTGAACTTAGCGAGAAAGGAGTGTTTTAGATTGTCTACCAGCATCTCACAGCCCCACACCGTGCACACATTCTGCGTCGCACAAAAGGAAGGCAAGAAGGCAGAGAGGCAGGGAGGTTAGCAAACATGCATCTTGAAAGGAGTGGCTTAGATGTTCCACGAGCATCTCACATCCCCACACCGCGCACACATTCTGCATTCCCAACAAGTTAGTGAAGTAGGAATGAAAGCAGGGAGGGAGGCAGAGAGGCAAGAAGGCAGGGAGGGAGGGAGGCAGGGAGGCATGTAAGCTCGCAGGAGGGGAAGCAAGTGAGGCAGTCGAAAGGAGTGTTTAAAATTGTCCACCAGCATCTCACAGCCCCACACCACACACACATACACTGCACCGCACTGCACCGGCACGCTCATACACTGCACCGCACTGCACCGGCACGCTCATACACTGCACCGCAAGCACATACAGTGCACCGCACGCACATACAGAGCACCGCACGCTCATACACTCCACCGCACGCACATACACTCCACCGCACGCACATACACTGCACCGCACGCACGTACACTGCACCGCACGCTCATACACTGTCCCTTCACCACGTTCTGCAGATGTTGCGTGTGTTGGGTCACGATACCAAACACCCGAAGCACAATAACACAAGGCTTAGCAAAATGTGCTGTGCAATGCACCCGGATGAAGAACGAGAGCGCGGTGTCCTGCCCCTGCCCCTGCCCCTGCCCCTGCCCCTGCCCCTGCCCCTGCCCCTGCCCCTGCCCCTGCCCCTGCCCCTGCCCCTGCCCCTGCCCCTGCCCCTGCCCCTGCCCCTGCCCCTGCCCCTGCCCCTGCCCCTGTTCCTGTCCCTGCCCCTGCCCCTGCCCCTGCCCCTGCCCCTGTTCCTGTCCCTGCCCCTGCCCCCGCCCCTTCACCATGTTCAGCAGATGGCAAGGAAAGCCCTGCCCCTGCCCCCATGGAATGCAACATACCCGGATGAAGAAGGAGAGCGAGGTGCCCTGCCCCTTGACCACGTTCTGAACCACCACGAAGAGCAGATGACACGAAAGATGAAACCGTTCCACCGTGTCTGGTACAGGTGAGAGGGGCAGGAGGAGGAGGCACAACAACTGTACTGTCGACAAAAACAAAGAGGTTTAGATATCCAAGAGAACTGTTCCACCGTGTCTGGTACGGGTGAGAGGGGCAGGGGCAGGGGGACCACCAAGAGTGAATTTTGAGGCGCCTCACGAGATGAAACCGTTCCACCGTGTCTGGTACAGGTGAGAGAGGCAGGAGGGGGGGGCACCCCAAAAGTGCGGTTACAAGAAGGATCGAGTAATTGAATCTTTGAAAAGAACCGGAAGAGGTAAAAAACTTGAGCAACGCACTTCCCTGTTGCACCACTAACTGAGAATGCCCCTGCTGCTACCGCACATGACACTCACTCACCCAAACATGTCAGCCTTGTGAATGTTCTCCAGGATGAAGCGCTTGAAGACATTCGACTTCACTGAGTTGATGGCCACGTTGACCCTGACGGCCTGCGTCAGCAGCACCACCCACCCACTGCTATGCACCTGCTGCACCCCACCCACCAGGATCTGCTGCTGCTGCTACAGCACACAACACTCACCTAGGCAAGCGAGCTTGTGAATGTTCTCCCGACTGAAGCGCTTGAAGACGTTCGACTTAACCTCAGCAAAGTTGTTGGAGACGAGGAGAGTGACCAGGATGTGGTTGTGCGAGTTGATGGCCACGTTGAGTGTCACGGCCTGGGTCAGCAGCACGAGTGCGTGCAGCAGGAAACACGCCACTGCTATCGCTTCATCAATTATGAACCGGAGGGTTTCCGTTGGCAGCGATGCAGCAGCAGGCGCTGCTGACCCTGCTGTTCCTGCTCCTCCTCCTGCTGCTGCTGTTCCTGCTCCTCCTGCTCCTCCTCCTGCTGCTGCTGCTCCTGCTCCTGTTGTTCCTGCCGCTCCTGCTGCTGGTGACCCGGCTGTAGCGGCAGCGGCCACACGAGCCGCGGTGTTGAGAGTCATCTGTAGCACGTCGCACCCCAGGCTCTGGCATAGCTTGTCCATCACCTGGGCGGGATGGTGTGGGGTGGTGTGAGATGGGGTGGTGCGGGGTGGGGTTGGGTGGGGATGACGGACACACTTCGCACCCCAGGCTCTGGCACAGCTTGTCCATCACCTGGCATGGGGTGGCATGGGGTGGTGTGGGGTGGTGTGGGGTGGAATGGGGGGTGGATGCGTACACTATGTTGGGGCTCCTGAGAACTGAACGTCACAGCCAAGGCTCTGCTCCACACAGCCGCACAGGACCGCACAGGACCCCACAGGACCGTTCACACACAGACTTCACTTACCTCAAGCACCTTGTAGAATGTTATGCCCGGATGCTCGAAAGTACAGCTGCACACAACAGCACACAACCGCACAGAGCCACTCACCACCACTCGCAACTCAAGCACATTATAGATGCCTACGAGCTTCAGAATGTTCTGTCCGCGGAGCCAGTGAACGAAAGAACATTGAGGGTGATGTCAGCCTGCTGTACCAGCACACAGGCGCACACAACCGCAGATAACCGCACACAACCGCAGACAGCCATTCACAACCTACCTCAAGTACATTGTAGATCACGACGAGCTTGATAATGTTCTGCCCGCGGATCCAGTGGTAGATGAGGCTGACGTCAGGATGCTCAAAAGCACGGCCGCATACACACAACTGCACCCAACCGCACACAACCACACTCAACCGCACAGAACCGCACAGAACCGCACTCAGCTGCACACTACTCACCTCGAGCACATTGTAGATCACCACGAGCTTGAGAATGTTCTGCCCGCGGATCCAGTGGTATATGAGGCTGACGTCAGCCTGCTGTAGTGCCAGCACACCGCACACAATGATGACGCCCTTGCCGACGTCAGCTATATCGTCCACAACTAGATGCAGCCGCCCCCTCCTGGCATACAGTACAGTACAGCATAGTGAAATAAAAGAAGCCCGAACGTTTTGGACAGCACCCATATGTCAAACTGTGCACATGATTTAAAAGATGCAGCAACATGCATGAAACGATGCATGCAATAAATATCAAGACAGGGAGAGAGATGGAGCCTTTGAGACGCAGCACAGCACAGGTATGGGCACAAACATCAGCTCAGCAGGGCGCTATCAAATCAACCCACCACGGTGCTAGGAGCAGGCGGAGCAAGAGGAGGAAGAGGCGGATGGGGAGGACGGCGAGGAGCGAGAGGAAGGAGTCGAGACACACGAGGTAACCCATTATGATCAGCTGAGGGAGTGGTGTGGGAAAATGGGAGTAGGGGTATGGGAGAAGGGGAGTGAGGTGTGGGCACGTGCATGAGAGGAAGGAGTCAAGACACACGAGGTAACCCATGATTATTAGTTGAGAGTGGGGTAGATGGGAGATGGGGAGAACGAGAGGACGGGATGGGAGTGTGGAAGAAGGTTGTGGGAACGCGTGCATGAGAGGAGGAGTGAGAGGAAGGAGTCGAGACACACGAGATAGCCCATTATGATCAGCTGAGGGAGTGGTGTGGGAGAAAGGGAGTCGGGGTATGGGAGAAGGGTAGTGAGGTGTGCGCCGTGCATGAGAGGAAGGAGCGAGAGGAAGAAGGAGTCGAGACACACGAGGTATCCCATGATGATCAGCTGAGAGTGGGAGGGGAATGGGAAGACAGACGAGGGCGGGCCCCTATCATTATCAGCTGGGGGGAGGTGTGGGACGGGGAAGGAGAGCACGGGAGGTGTGGGACGGGGAAGGAGAGCACGGGAGGTGTGGGACGGGGAAGGAGAGCACGGGAGGTGTGGGACGGGGAAGGAGAGCACGGGAGGTGTGGGACGGGGAAGGAGAGCACGGGAGGTGTGGGACGGGGAAGGAGAGCACGGGAGGTGTGGGACGGGGAAGGAGAGCACGGGAGGTGTGGGACGGGGAAGGAGAGCACGGGATGATCAGCTGAGGGTTGGTGCGGGATCATGCATGGGAGACGGGAGCTGATCACACTCCCGTGCATGATCAGCTGAGGGTTGGCGCGGGAGGGAATAGGCACATTGAACAACGTGTTGTGGACCTTCTCACCGCTTCACACCACTCTGAATCCCTCACCAGTTCACACCGCCACGGCCCATTGAACATGGTGTTGTTGTAAACCGTGAGACGTATCCCTTTCCTACGCTGCTGCTCGCTGGAATATGTCTTTTGAGACGTCTCAAAACACACTTTCCTACGCTGCTGCTCGCTGGAATATGTCTCACGGTCTGTAAACCTTCTCTCTCCGCACGTCAGCACTCTTCTCCCCCCCCTCCTCCTCCCCTTTCCTCACGAGATCAAACATTCTCACCGCTTTACACCGCCCTACACCCCTCACCAGTTCACACCGCCACGGCACGTTAAACATGGTGTTGTAGACCTTCTCTCGCCTCACGTCCGCGCCCTTGCCACCCTCCCTCGCCGCCCCGTCCCGCCCCACCACCTCCTTCCACAGATACGACAAGGCAGAACCGTCCACGACAAGAGCTGGGGGGAAAAGGCAGAGTGAAATGGAAGAGTGTGTGTGTGTGGGGGGGGGGGGGGGGGTGGGGGTTTGAGACAAGGCAGAGCCGTCAACGACCAGCGGTGAGGAAATGGGGTAGTGGGAGCAGACATGGAAAGAAGGGAGGATGAGCACTCTTGAGTTCCACACTCCCTCTCCACCACCTCCTTCCACAGATACGACCAGGCGCTAAGGGAAAGGGGGGACGCATTTTCGAGCACAAGAGAGAAGAATGAGATTTTCACTTATCCCACTCCATCCCACCCCATCCCGAAATGTTCCAGCCCCCCACATGCCTTACCCCGCAGCTCAACCCCCCATTCATTCCCAGAGAAGCCCAAGCTGTCAAACTAAATCTCTCTTTGACACTAGCCTCCTACCAGCTTTATCCAAGCCGTGTGCAGGGGGATGGCATTTGAGTCGACTCACAAGTCACCTTCCATACCCCACAACTCACCCCCCCCTTCATCCCCAGAAGCCCTAGCCCTGAGATGTCTCAAACCTCCATCCCCAGGGATGCCCGAGCCTCCTACCAGATTTATCCAAGCCGTGCGCAGGGGGATGGGCCGCCACCCACTGCTTCAGCTTCGGCGTGTCCGAACCTGATGCCGAGCCTGACGGCTGCCGCTGCAGCCCCGAACCACCGCTGATCCCCCCCCCATCAGTCCCCCCTCCTGAGGGCGAATTCACTCCCCAGCCCTTTCCCGAGCCTTGCCGTTGCAATGTGGCTGCCGAGCCTGTCCCCGAACCTGTTCCGGCAGTCTGCTTCGGCGGCGTTTCCCAAAGCAGCTCAGCAGCAGCGGCAGCCACAGCCGCGGCGGCAGCAACGCGGGGCGACGGCCCCGCTGGGGTGTTTTCCCCCGAAAAAGTCGTGCTTATGGATAAACTAATCGGGCGAGGGGGTTTTTGGGGGGTATCGAGGTGAATGTTGGATGGGCGCGGGGAACAGGGGGTGGATGGGCGGGAGGTGCGCGGGACCAATTCGGGGGTTGTCGCGGCGGAGCTGGTGGAAGTGCTACTGGCGGAGACATTATTGGCGGAAACCCCACTGGCGGAAGAACCAGAGGCGGAAACCGCGCCGATAACGGCGCAAGAATTGGCGGATGCGATCGGGGGAACTCCGCTACTAGCTCTTTCGTACTGTGCATTCTTTCTCGTCACGTCAGCTGACGCGTCAGCCATGTCAGATGCCACGTGTCCACAACCTGCACGATCAGCCGCAATGGTAACAGTCGCTCTGTCCCGTAACTTCGCGGATTCTTCTAGTAGCGTCATTGAATTCGGTTTGGCGAAACCATCGACAGGTGGAGGTAACGCCCCGTGAAGCGCTTCCGACTAGCGAACGTATACTCTAGGGAGATTGGTAGTTCATATTAGAATGCTTGTCTGACACGTTGTGATAGACTGGCAATGTGAATTCGCTAGGAATACAGTAGCCTGCTAATCTTCTAACCTACGGGCATGAAGCATCGGTATTGGCAAGGTTGAGCATGCTCAGATGAATCACCCACGCACCACACGCCTTTGGCGTGAAGTGGATTCTGTGGATGTGAATTTGGGACCATCGGCGGAAGTTTTGCCCGAATTTAGGAGGACAGGGGGAGTAGCGCATCGCGCAGAGCGCAGGGTGCAGCAGCGTGGGGAATTACGCGCTGCGCTTTGGGTGCTGCGCAGAAAGAAGCGGGAAAATGGCGGAGTGCGCTGACTGCTGCAGGCGGAAAATGTGGGGTGCGGTATGTGATTGGCCAAGGGAAACAGTCGCGAACAAGGCTCAATAGTGTATTCGCCAAACTCATTGAACATTTTCCTCACCAACCTAGCGATAATAGTTGTAGACTACTATGCTGCAGCACAGATATTTCGTTTCTATCGCGTCAGCTTCAGTCGAGCTCAAGTGCATTTTCAAGGTTTCGAAATCAGGGCTGGTAGCGAGGCAAACACAAGGCAGCAGCAGTTCCCAAGGTTTTACCAAAAAAGCTGGCTGGCTTGAGATGGCTGATGGGGACGCAGCAGCCAGCACTGCGGCAACGAGGGGAGGAACAATAAAAGCAGAACTCCAAACTAGGACCGTCTAGTCAGGATTAGGTGCTGATAAATAGCTCAGTGTTAGTAACGCTTGTGGTGTATCGAGCTGTCGTAGGTCAGCGCGTAATTGGAGATGATTGGATGATAGATGACGAATTTGGGATCCTAAGAAGCAGCGGGGTTGTCACGGCATACGACATCGCCGCGAGTGCTTTCCGACTCAGCTACCTGTGATGCGCGGCTTTCCTGCCGACTGAGACGTCTCAAAAATCGACTTTCCTGCTTTTCTTAGATCCATTTGGGCTGCTTGCGCTGACGTTCGGTCTAGGATCGGTCAATGCTCATTGTGCCTGTTACAGCCCAACCCTCATATTTCATCGCATGGGTGCATGGCATGGGTGCATGGCATGGGTGCATGGCGTCTAAGCGTCTTGTTTTACCTACGCAAGATTCTGGCGATTATTTTGTTCAACTTGTCACACTGACCGTGTCGTCGTATCGTTCCAGTCTCGCCCCCGTATCGTACCAGATTTCCTGGACGCACCAGCTAAACCCCCTTTTGTTTGTCTCCCGCTCGCATATAGATTAGCGTCATGCATCCCCGGAAGATTCCCCCTTCCCCTTGGGATCCCCATCCCAAGCCGGTCAGATCCGCCAGTCTCACCTTCCGCGCGCCTCACGTCCCCCACTCGCGGAGTGCGCTTTCCATTCCGCCATACCCCTCCGCCTCCGCTTATTCCTCCGCTCCCCCGTACCCTCCTCTTCCGTACTCTTCCGCTTCCCCGTACCATCCCCCTCACCAGTACGCTTCTGCTGCGCAGTACTCTCCCGCTCCCCCTTACTCTTCCGCTCCGCCGTACCCTTCCGCTTCCGCCTACCCCTCCGCCTCTCAGTACTCGCCTTCCGCTCCCTCGTTCCCCCCCGCTCCCCAGCGGCGCGCATCTTCCCCCTCACCGCCTGGGAGAAACTTCGTCATTCGGTTCACGTGCGACGATGACGACGACGATGGTGATGGCGACGGCGACGACAATGCTGATGCCAGTCGCGAAGGAGGTGGTAACTCGAAAAGTGACATTTCGGGCAGCAGATCGTTACCGCCGGCCAGGCGGGCCTCTCCGATCGCGATCCTTTCGCCGGGGAGCGGGGCATCAAGGGGAGGAGGGAGCGGCGGAATAACCTCAGCCGTTGCCCTTCCGCCAAGACCTTCAAGTGCGCCAGGATCTTCCGCGCAAGGTTCCGCATCCGCTTCCGCTTCTGCTTCCGCTTCTGCCTCCGCTTCCGCCTCTCCGCTCTCGCTTCCCCCTGGCGCGAGCAAGCCCACCGTTTGGACCGCGGGTGGCGCACACGCCACGCAAACTCGCGGAAGACAGACGGCGGCTGGGGTAGTTGCGCGCGCAGCTTCTGCGCGAGCACTGGGCCGCTCCCCCCCGTCCGTCCCCCTTCCCCCAGCGGCTGTGGCTGGCGGATCTACTGGGGCGGCGGCTGGCGCAAGCTCTGGCGGAGCAGGCGGGACTGACGGCGGAGCTTCCACGCAGTTTTTGAAGCAAATTGCGCTCATGCGCGAGCAGATCGCGGCTTTTGAGCGCAGGGGGGAAGGCGGGAGCTCGGGGAACTTGGTTGAGGCAGGCGGGGGACAGGGTCCGGATGCGCCTAAGGAAGGCGCAGAGCCAATCAGCGGCGGAAACGCCAGCGGCGCTGGCGCAAGTGGCGCTGGCGCTAGTGGCAGCAAAGGGGAGAAGTCTTCCAAGGAACCAAAGCAGGCTGCAACTCCGGTTGTAGCAGCGCGCGGATCAACACCACCGGCAGCAAAGACGGCTGTAGCACCGCCAGTGGCAAAGGCCTCTGTAGCTGCGCCGGCAGAAGCGCAGCCAGCGCGAAAGGCGGCTGTTGCAGCAGCACCACCTGCGGCTGTAGCAGCAGCAGCACCAGCAGCAGCAGCAGCAGCAACAACACCTCCAGCAGCATCAGCAGCACAGCCAGTACCAAAGCCCGCTGCACCGGCTGCTACAGGCGCAGCAGCGGCAGCTGTAGCAGAGGCTTCTCCTGACGTCCCAGCACGACCAGGAGCTGTAGCAGAGGCTTCTGCTGACGTCCCAGCAGAAAAGGAAAGGGCTGGAGCTCCGCTTGCTACAGCTGCTGCTGCTCCTAGTACTACCGTCTCTAGCCCCTCTCGCCCTCCACGTTCCGCCACTCCTCCTCTCGCCCCTCCGCGTTCTTTCACCCCCCCTGTTGTCCCCCCTCGCTCCTTCACTCCTCCTGTCAACTCCCCGCGTTCCTTCACCCCCCCTGTCAACTCCCCCCGTTCCGCCACCTCCGCACTTATCCCGCCTCCCCCCGTGCCCCCCTCTTTGGCTCGTTCCCGGTCCGCCACTCCGCCCGTGAATCCCCGCACAACCTCCCCCTCTCTCGCTGCTGCAACAGCAGCAACAGCCGGAGCAGCAGCAGCAGCAGCAGGGGCAGGGGCAGCAGGGGCAGGGGCAGCAGGAGCAGGAGCAGCCGCAGCAGGGGTACCAGCAGCAGCGGCAGCTACGGTGCCACCTGCACCTGTGGTGGTGAAATCCGCGCCTGTGGCTGTGACACACTCAGGAGATATTTCAGGTGTTTCTTTGTCCAGGCTTTCAATATCGGCGGCACCTGAGACCAAGGAAGGAGCATCAGGTGCTGTTGAGAATGCAAGTGCGGAAGGAGGAGTGGCAGCAGCAGGAGGAGTAGCAGCAGGAGGAGGAGTAGCAGCAGGAGGAGTAGCAGCAGCAGGAGCATTTGGATCAGCAGAAAAGGCACCAGCTGCCTCCCCAGAAGCAGCTGCTGCTGGTGCTTCGTCACATACAGCTCGACAGGGCGGCGTTTCTCGTCCTGTAGCAGTCAGAGGCGGAACGGCGCGGGCGAGAGGAGGAGCAAGAGGTCTAGGTCAGGGGCGAGCGGGAACAAGAGCGGGAGAGCAAAGCAGTGGGCTGCTGAAGCGGGGGATGAGCTGGAACGAACCGATAATGCTAGATGATGATGATGATGATGATGACGAGGATGAACCAATCATGCTAGAGAGTGATAGTGGTGCTGGTGGCGGTGGTGCTGTTGATGATGGTGCTGCTGCTGGTGGTGGTGGTGGCAATAACAGGGTTGCTCCGGTGAGTGGGTTGTCACCCAGATGCAGAGGTCACGGGGTGATGTTAATCTATGCTTTGTTAGATTCCGTTGGGTGGGCGTGGGATTACTCGTCCAATGGTGTATCGAACGGTGACGTGGAGTGCGTCTGTTATGCGTGAGATGATGACAATGGGTGAAGGGAGACGACTTCTGAGGTACCTCGTTGCGGTTCTTTCTTCCTTTCCATGCCATCATCCTCTTTCCCATATCATCATCCCTCCTCCTGTGCCATCATCAACCTTTGCATACCATTATCTTCTCCCCTCCAATGTGATCGTCTCTCTCCTTGCCGGATTCTTCAGGACTCACCAGAAGATGTGAAGCCCGTGCACGCTGGTGACAGTGCTGATGCTGCTTTTGAGGCTCCTAAAAACTTCCATCTTCTCTCTTCCCATCGTCTCTCTCCCTGCCGGATCTCCAGGACTCACCAGAAGATGTGAAGCCCGTGCACGCTGGTGGCAGTGCTGGCGCTGCTGATGCTGCTCATGCTGCTCATGCTGCTCATACTTCTCTTGCTGCTCATGCTGCTCATACTGCTGCTGCTGGCGATGACGCTGGTGCTGGTGCTGTGCCTGGCAATGCTTTGGCTGACTTTGGCAATGCCGGTGGCGCTGGTAGCGATGGCATGGACACCAGCGCTGACCCAGACAGTGGCGAGGACATGGAGATAGATGACGATGGTGGTGTTGGTGGTCGTGAGTATGATCCGATAGCAGATGCTTGGGAGGATAATTACAGGTTTGATGTGACTGAAGCGAGGGGTGGTGGTGGCATTCCTGAGGGTGGTATCGCAGCAGAGGCACAGACGGTGATTGCAGAGGCGCTTGCTGCGGCAGCAGCAGAGGCAGCAGGGGCTGGAGCAACAGGGACAACTGCAGCAACAGAAGCAGCTGCAGGCAAAGCGGCAACAGCAGGAACAGCAGGAGCAGTAGCAGTAGCAGGAGCAGCAGGATCGGTGGCAGCAGCAGGAGGCGGAACAACAATGCAGGCGTCACCTGCAAGTGCGGGGGTAAAGGCGGCAGTACAGGTCTTGCCTGGGACTGTGGGGATAGATGCAGCCGTGCAGCTTTCACCTGCGAGTGGGGGGTTGGAAGCAGCTGCAGTGCGAGTGTCACCACCACAGATAGGAGTAGAGGCGGCACTGGAGGCGGATGGGGCGTGGGCGGGGCTTGCGAGTGTGTGGCACGGGGCGGGGGGGTTCTCCTTCGGGGGATGGCTGGAGGAGGAGAGGGCGGAGGGGAGTGAGAGGGGCGCGCATGTGCAGGGCGCGCACCCACAGGGCGCTAGAGTGGAGGGTGGAAGGAGGCAGGCAGAGCATACACAGGATGCGAGGGCGCAGGGTGCAAGCGTGCAGGGCGAGAGGGTGCAAGGCGAGAGGGGGCAAGGCGAGAGAAGGCAAGACGAGAGGGGGCAGGGCGAGAGAAGGCAAGACGAGAGGGGGCAGGGCGAGAGAAGGCAAGACGAGAGGGGGCAGGGCGAGAGAAGGCAAGACGAGAGGGGGCAGGGCGAGAGAAGGCAAGACGAGAGGGGGCAGGGCGAGAGAAGGCAAGACGAGAGGGGGCAGGGCGTGAGAGATGATCCCCCTCCTCCTCACCCTCCAACCCAACCGCCCCCGCTGCCCGCCCCACCCCCTCCATCTGACCCCCCTCCTCCAAATCCTCCTCCTCCCCTTCCGATCCCTCCGTCGTTTGCGCCTGTGCATGCTCCTGCTGCAACGAATGTGCTTCCACACACACATACACGGGCACATGCACCTGCACTTGTGCCTGCACCGACACATGCACATGCACATGCACATGCACCTGTGCATGCACATGCACATGCAGAGGAACATATGGCCCCAACTCATTATAGTCATGACATGTCCCATCTGCAGCAACAGACCCATGTGCACATGCCACCAACAACCACCCCTCTTCCAACCATCCCTCCCCCAACCGCCCCTCTCCCAACCGCCCCTCTCCCACTCGCCCCTCCCCCAACTTTCTCTCCAGCCTCCCCTCTTCCAACTTCCCCTTTCTCAAATGCCCCTCTCTCCACCCCGCCTCGCTCTGAACCTCTACCCATGCGCCCCCCTTTCTCTGGCTTGGCCTTGCAAGGGGTTTGGACAGAGCAGAAGGTTTTTTACGGGCAGGTCGGGCAGGGGGTCACGGGCAGGCAGGAGGCTTTTACCGGGCAGGGCGGATGGCTGTCAGAGGGGAATTCCCCTGGGCAGGGGAATTTGGGAGCTCAAGCAGGGGAAGGAGGTTTGGGTGGGCAGGTTGGGGCGAGCGGGCGGCAGGTTTTGGAGCTTCTGTGGAGGGAGGAGGAGGAGGTGGAGGCGGCATTAGAGGAGGAGAGGCAGAGGAGGAGGGAGTGCGAGGAGGAGGAGGCGAGGCTTAGGAGGGGTTTGAGGCAGATAGAGCGGCGATTGGCTCTGTCGAATCAACGGTGTGCAGTGCTCCAGCAGAGACGGACACAGATCGCAGGGCGGATAGAAGCTGCTGGGGTTAGTCTGGATTTGGGTAGTGGGGAAGTGGGTGCGGTTGGGGGGACGGATGTGGGTGTGGGGTTGGGTGGGATGGGCAGAGATGCGGTGATTGGTGCGCTTGCGCCTGTTGCTGCTATATCTGCTGCTGCGGTTTCCCCTCCTGTTGCTGCCCCTGCCCCTGCCCCTGTCCCTTCTGTTCCGGCTGCTGCTGCTGAAGCTGCCTATTCAGCTGGATTTTCCCCTTTTGCTCCAACCTCTGCTGCTGCTGAAGCTGCCACTGCTGCTGTGACTGCTGCTGTCCCTGCTGCTGCAGCTGTCTCTGCTGGTACTCCAGGTTCAGCTCGTGTTCTCGTTGGCCCTCCGGTCGCTGCTGCTCCTGCTCCTGCTCCTCCTTCTATCCCCGCTGCTGCTGCTCCTGCTCCTGCCGCTGCTCCTCCTTCTATCACTGCTGCTGCTGCTCCTGCTGCTGATAGGGGCAACACTTGCACCACCCTCGCCCGTGACACATGGAGGCAGTCCCAGTGGGGTGAGGGCGCAACAGGGGGAGGTGTATCCGGGGGAGTCGTACCTGGGGGAGGTGTATCAGGGGGAGGTGTATCTGGAGGAGTCACATACCAGGCTGGCGCCATCGTCAGAGGGATAGGCGAGGAGAGGGGAGTTGGAGGGGAGTATCGAGGGTTGAGAGTGAAGAGGGAGAGGGAGGAGATGGGTGAAGGGGAAGATGGGAGGAGGGTGGCTAGGAGAGAGGAGGAATTTAGACAGGAGAGGGAGAGAGTGAGGGAGAGGGAGAGGGAAAAGGAGAGGGAAAAGGAGAGGGAGAGAGTGAGGGAGAGGGAGAGGGAGAGGGAAAAGGAGAGGGAGAGAGAGAGGGAGAGGGAGAGGGAAAAGGAGAGGGAAAAGGAGAGGGAGAGAGTGAGGGAGAGGGAGAGGGAGAGGGAAAAGGAGAGGGAGAGAGAGAGGGAGAGGGAGAGGGAGAGGGAAAAGGAGAGGGAGGGATTGAGGGAGAGGGAGAGAGAGAGGGTGAGGGAAAAGGAGAGGGAGGTGAGGGAGAGGGGAAAGCAGAGGGAGAGGGAGGAGGGATCTGGGAGGGGCAGAGAGGAGGAGAGGAGGGAGAGAGCCACGCCTGTGCAGGAGATGAGTGCTACAGCTGGGGCTATCGGCAGCCCAGAAAGGATAGCTGTAGCAGGCGCCTTGGCTACAACCGCTGCAGCTGCTGCTACAGTTGGCGCTCGTGCTGCTGCTGTGGTTCCTGCCAGTGCTGGTGGTGCAGTGGCTGCGGCTGTGGTGCCTGCCAATGCTAGCGGAGGTGGTGTTGCTGCTGCTGTGGTCCCTGCCAATGCTGGCGGTGCTGTGGCTGCTGCTGCAGCAGCAACAGGCAGCATCGAGGAAGCAGAAGTGCTTAGGCGAGCAGAGGTGATCCGACAGAGGACCACTGTTGTTGAGTCTGCTAGTAAAGCGGATGATGCAGAAGTGATGCACAGGGCCCAGGTGTTGAGGCAGAGGCTCGTGTCTGAGTATGCCAGGAAGAACGCCCAGCTGGTAAAGCAAGGATCAGCTAAAGGGAAAATGGCTGATAACGGGTCTGCTAGTAATAAGGATGTTGAAGATATTGTAACAGGTACAGCTGGTGCTGCTGCTGCTACAGGTGTGGCTGGTACTGCTGCTGCCACTGCAGATGATAGTGGCGATGGCACTGCAACGCCAGCTGATGATGTTGCTGCTGCTGCCACTATAACTGGAGTAGCTGTTACCACTGCCCCTCCTGTTGCTGTTACAACTGGTGCTGCAAATGCCGCTACAAGAGACGCTACTGCTGAAACTGCTACAGCCTCTGCGGCTACAGCTGCCGACGCAGCTACAGGCGGCAGTGCGAGTGACGATGCGGCAGAGGTGATGCGGCGAGCACAGGTGATCCGCCAGAGGCTGCTGGCACAGCTGGCGGCCAAGGGCGGGACGGGGGCTGGGAAGGAGGGGCGTGGGGCGGACAGGGGAGGGGCGGGGCCTGTGAGGGACGCGAGTGGGGCTGGCAGGGGAGCAGCTAGTGCAGGGAGGGAAGGGAATGGGGCGGGCAGAGGAGGGGATGGGGCGGGCAGAGGAGGGTTAGGAGCAGGGAGGGAAGGGAGTGGGGCGGGCAGGGGCGGGGTTGGAGCAGGGAGAGGAGGGAGTGGGGCGGACAGTGGAGGGATGGGGGCGGGCAGAGGGGCGGTGGCAGGTGGAGGAGGGGTTGTGGCAGGTGCCGGTAAGGGAATATCTGCTGTTGCAGCTGGTCTGTCTACTGGTGGTGGTGCTGCTCGTGGTGGTGGTGGTGCTGCTGGTGGTGCTGCCAGTCCTGCCACTGCCACTGCCACTGCCACTGCCAATGCCTCCCCGTCTGCTCCTGCTGCAGCTGATGTGTCAGCTGCTCCTGTTTGCAGTCCCGCGAGAGCAAGGGATGTGGCCTTTGGAGGGAGAGGTCCAAGCAGTCCGGGTTTGGGTAGCCCCGGCAGGAGCACTCCAGGTGGCAGGGCTGGCATGGGTGTGAGGGATGCAGAGGGAGGGAGAGGAGGGAGCAGTTCGTGTATGAGTATTCCCAGCCAGAGCAGCCCAGGTAGCAGGGTTGGGATGGGTGTGAGGGATGCAGAGGGAGGGAGAGGAGGGAGCAGTCCGTGTATGAGTATTCCCAGCCAGAGCAGCCCAGGTAGCAGGGTTGGGATGGGTGTGAGGGATGCAGAGGGAGGGAGAGGAGGGAGCAGTCCGTGTATGAGTATTCCCAGCCAGAGCAGCCCAGGTAGCAGGGTTGGGATGGGTGTGAGGGATGCAGAGGGAGGGAGAGGAGGGAGCAGTCCGTGTATGAGTATTCCCAGCCAGAGCAGCCCAGGTAGCAGGGTTGGGATGGGTGTGAGGGATGGAAAGGGGAGGGGTGATGGGGGAGAAAAGGTGGCGGAGAGAAGGCTTCAGGTGTCCATTCAGGTGAAAGTGGAAGCCCATGAGGAAGCAGTTTGCAGGGTTGTGACGTCAGGTGCACCACTAGGAATGACGTCAGGTGCAGGAAGGGGAGGAGTGACGTCAGGTGGAGGAAGGGGAGGAGTGACGTCAGGCGCAGGAGGGACGGGAGAGATGGTGGGGCGATCGCTGGGAGCAATAGCAGGAGAAGGAGAAGCAGCAAGGGGAGCATCAGTGGAGAGAGTAAGAGGTAAAGCAGCGACGAGAGAAGTGGTAGAGGCACGATCGGGAAGAGAAGGGAGTGAGGTGGTAGGGCGGGGAGAGAGAGCAGAAGCAGCAGCGACAGGTGTAGCAGCTTTACCAGCAGCAGCGGCGGAAACAACACTGGTGGCAGCAGCACCGCCAGCAGCAGCACCGCCAGTAGCAGCACCGAATGAGAAGCAGAGGGAACAGCAGAAGGAGAAGGAGAAGCAGAGGGAACAGCAGAAGGAGATTGAGAAGCAGAGGGAGCAGCAGAAGGAGATTGATAAGCAGAGGGAGCAGCAGAAGGAGATTAATAAGCAGAGGGAGCAGCAGAAGGAGAAGGAGAAGCAGAGGGAACAGCAGAAGGAGATTGAGAAGCAGAGGGAGCAGCAGAAAGAGCAGGAGAAGCAGAAGAAGCAGCAGAAGGAGAAGGAGAAGCAAAGGGAGCAGCAGAAGGAGCACGAGAAGCAGAGGGAGCAGCAGAAGGAGCACGAGAAGAAGGGAGGGCAGCAAACGGAGCAAGAGAAGCAAAGGGGGCAGGGGAAGAAGAGGAAGGGGCAGGAGTTGCAAGGCGCGCAGGAGAAGGAGCAGGAGGATCAGCTGGGAGGGCAGGAGAGACAAGGCGGAGAGAAGTGTAAAGTAGTGAAACTGGGTGAATGTGAGAGTGGGAGGAGTGTGGAAGGAGTAAGGGACATCCCTTTTGTCACCAAGGGGGATAAGGAGAAGGGGGCAGAGGAGAAGAGTGAAGAGGAGACGAGGCAGGGGAAGGAGACGAGAAGAGCAGGGGTGTCGGGAAGGGTAAAAGAGGAGGAGGGGCAGGGAGGGGAGAGTGGTGTTGCAGATTTGAAACACGGGAGGAGGGTGGGTGAGATTACGGCTGGTGACTTGGGGCAAGGGAAGAGGCGACGAGGTGCAGAGGAGGATAGGGAGAGACGAGTGAGGGAAAGGGTGGAGGAGGATAGGCGGAGAGAGGAGGGGGGGAGACGAGAGGAGGGGGGAAGGAGGGAGGAGGTGGGGAGGAGAGAGGATGGGGGAAGGAGGGAGGAGAGGGGATGGAGAGAGGAGAGAGGCAGGAGGGAGGAAGGGGGAGGGAGGGAGGAGGGTAGGAGGAGAGACGAGAGAGAAAGGAGTGAGGAGTGGCGGAGGAGGGAGGAGGGTACTAGGAGAGAGGAGGGTAGGAGGAGAGAAGAGGACGGGATGAGGGAGGAGCATATGCATGAGGGAGGAGGCAGGAGGGAGAGTGGTAAGAACGAGGAAGCAAAGGGGAAGAAGAGAGAAGAGGGTGGGATGAGGGACGAGCACATGCACGAGGGAGGAGGCAGGAGGGAGAGTGGTAAGAAAGAGGCGGTGAAGGGGAAGAAGGGGGGGGTGGAGGGGGGTGAGACTGAGGAAGGCACACAAGCGAGGGTGCGGGTCCGGGTGAGAGGGAGAGGAGTGTTGGAGGGAGGGGCGAGGGAGAGGAGTGTGGATGAGTATGAGAGCCCGCTGGTGATGTTCAGGTGCTACCGGCACTCCTCCGTGTTCATGGCCCGATGGAGTGCTGTGGTGGAGTGCGGTGAGGAGGGGCAGGAGGAGGGGAAGGAGGGGCAGGAGGGGCAGGAGGAGGGGAAGGAGGGGGGGCAGGGGAGGCAGCAGGAAGGGAAGGAAGAGAAGGAAAGGAAGGAGGGGCAGGAGGGACAGAGAGTGGATCTAGGGCAGAGTCTGCAAAGTCAACAGAGTCAACAACAGCAGCAGCAGCTGCAGCAGCCGGAGCGAGGTCCATCACCCCATCCGCCCCCTTCCCCACTTTCCTCTCAGGCCTTGCGAGTCCACGAGGCTTCGATCGATCCGCACCGTGTGATCTGCACCGCCCAGCTGCGCGGCCAATGCGTGGACGCCAAGTGTCGCCTGCAGCACCTGCTGCCCCACCCTGTGCGCTTTGCCCCTGTGATCAGGGTAGTGCGGGACGATGCTGAAAGGGTTGCTCATAACGTGTATGCAGAGAGTGTGGCAGGAGCAGCAGCAACAGCAGCAGCAGAAGTGGGGGGAGCAGGTGCTGAAGGAATAGAGAGGGCGGCAGAAGCAGCAGAGAGTGTTAAACCACCAGCAGGGGCCAGCCAAGAAGCAGATCCGTTACAAGCTGATGCAATACAAGGGTCTGCATTAGAAGGAAACCACTCACTGGTGTCGCTCCTCCGAGCATCCATCTTAAAGCCGCATCTTCAACCCCACCACCTTATCCCATTGCCTGGTAAGAAACGCCAGCTTCCCCCTTCCCCTGCCTTTCCCCCGTACCTCCTCCCAGTCCCTTTTCCAAAAGACACTTGGCTGCCCAGCAAACATATCACATACACCCCAATCTGCCCGGAAACGGCTCTCGGCGAATCAGGGCTTGGTGGGAAGGTGCTTAAGGCCCGAAAGGCTTTATCGGAGGTTTTGGCTTCCGCTGCAGAAGTGTCTTTTGCTTCGGCTGCTGCTGCTAGGAGCGGGGGGGGTGGGGGGAGATGGGGGGGAGGAGGAGGGGAAGGAGCAGGAGGAGGAGCAGGAGTGGGAGTAGAAGGAGGGTGGGGAGTGGGAGGGGCAGGAGGGAGTGGGCCAAAGAGGAGTAAGGAGGGAGGGAAGGGAGATGAGGGAGAGAAGATCGCTAAAGGGGGGAAGATGAGCGTGTGGGATAGGGTGAGTGGCGCAGAGGGGAATTTTGGAGAAACGAGGGTGAGTGGGGGTGAGAGGGAGTGTGAGGGTGTGAGCGAGGGAGTGAGAGAGGGAGTGAGGGAGGAAGAGAGGTTGCCACTGCACCTTCCTCTCTCTCTGCTCCTTTCTGGAACGGTGGATTTCTGGGGCGGTGAAAGCTGTCCTGTGATTGGTGAGAGGTGCCACGTGGAGCAGACCTATTGGTCAAGGAAAGTGCGGGAATGGGAGAAGAGGGGGCGTGTGGAAAGGGAGGGGGCGGCTGAGGGGGTTACTGTGGAAGAGGGAGAGGAGGAAGAGGAAAGGAAGCAGGACAGGGACGAAAAAGGGAAGGCGGACAAGGGCAAGGGGCAGGAAGAGGAGGAAGGGAAAAGGAAGGGGACGGAAGAGGAGAAGGGAGAAGGGGGGAGAAAGAGAGACTCAAGTACAGACGTGGCAGGGGGAAAGAGAGACTCATATACAGACGTGGCAGGGGGAAAGAGAGACTCAAGTACAGACGTGGCAGGGGGAAAGAGAGACTCATATACAGACGTGGCAGGGGGAAAGAGAGACTCATATACAGACGTGGCAGGGGGAAAGAGAGACTCAAGTACAGACGTGGCAGGGGGAAAGAGAGACTCATATACAGACGTGGCAGGGGGAAAGAGAGACTCATATACAGACGTGGCAGGGGGAAAGAGAGACTCATATACAGACGTGGCAGGGAGATTCGTGTCGAAAGAGCCAGAAGACAAGACAGCTTCTCAACCCCCCTACCTCTCGCCTCTCTCTCACTCTGACTTGGCGCTCCTCTTTGCCTTCAAGCAGTTGCCCCTGCTGCCCATGCCAGCCCAGCTCCTGGGCTTGATCCACCTGAATCGGATCGACCCGTCTCTGAAGGGAATGGGGCGGCTGCTCTATGCTGTCTGTGCGCCGGAACCAACTGCTGCCACTTTGGAAACGGTGAGTCGTTATTCCCAGTTGTACCCGCCAGGCTCAGCTGCCCATGCCAGGCCAGCCAATCCACCTGAATCGGATCGACCCGTCTCTGAAGGGAATGGGGCGGCTGCTCTATGCTGTCTGTGCGCCGGAACCAACTGCTGCCACTTTGGAAACTGTAAGTCGTTGTTACTTCCAGTTGTACCAGCTGTACCCCCCTGCTTGTGTTCTTTGTGAATTCTAAAAAAACACACGCTCAAACATATCTCCCTCCAACTGTAAGTCGTTGTTACTAGCTGTACCAGTTGTACCAGTTTGTACCCCTCAGATGCCCATGCCAGGCCAGCCCCTGGGCTTCATCCACCTGAGTCAGATAGACCTGCACCCGCAGCTGAAGGGAATGGCTTGTCTTCTTTTGCCTCTTCGCCCTCCTCTCCTCGCTGCTCTCCGCCCTGCTGCAGATGATGTTTTGAGTCACCGATGCCGTAACCCCTCCCTGGCCCTCCTATCCCTCTCCCCGTGCAGGTCATCGCCTTGCTAGCGCATTTCCTGTACCACCAGCCGGGCAGCAGCGGCAGACAACTTTTTAGGTGATTCAATCAAGCCTGTTCTTTCTTACCCATCCCTCCCTCCCCTTCAGGTCATTGCCTCGCTAGAGCATTTCCTGTACCACCAGCCAGGCAGCAGCAGCACGTGGCATGTCTTCTTCCGCCTCTTCGCCCTCCTCCCCGCGCTGCTGCACCTGCCGTGGCTCTACGTTTTGACTGCCCCCTTCTTCCCATCCCTCCCCTTCAGGTCATTGCCTCGCTAGCACATTTCCTGTACCACCAGCCAGGCAGCAGCAGCAGCAGCAGCAGGTTTCTATGTTGACTCAACAGTCACCCCTGCCTTTGTCCCAACACACCCATACTCCCTCCCCTTCAGGTCATTGCCTCGCTAGCGCATTTCCTGTACCACCAGCCAGGCAGCAGCAGCACGTGGCATGTCTTCTTCCGCCTCTTTGCCCTCCTCCCCGCGCTGCTGCACCTGCCGTGGCTTTACTGCATGGCGCGGCTTCGGAGGGAGGTTGAAGTCAAGGAGCAGATGGCAGCCCTGGTGCAGTGCTGTGTGAGTGGGTGGTGTGGTGATGGGTGGTGCAGTGCTGTGTGAGTGGGTGGTGTGGTGATGGGTGGTGCAGTGCTGTGTGAGTTTACTTTTGAGTCGACTCAAAACTCAAAAGTCAGTGCTGTGTGAGTGGGTGGTGTGGTGATGGGTGGTGCAGTGCTGTGTGAGTGGGTGGTGTGGTGATGGGTGGTGCAGTGCTGTGTGAGTGGGTGGGGGGTTGGGAGGAGGGTGGGCGGTGCTTGGTGCATGGGTGTGTTCCGGGGTGATTTCTAGTCGCTGCGCTGCAGCAACAGGAGGGAGGTTGAAGTCAAGGAGCAGATGGGCGCGCTCGTGCAGTGCTGTGTGAGTGTGGGGTGTTGGGGTGTGTGTGGGTGAGGGCGAAAGAGTGTTTGTGAATTGGTCCCCTGCTGCACCTGCCGTGGCTCCACCTCCGCATGGCGCGCATTCGGAGGGAGTTTGAGCTCAAGGAGCAGATAGGCGCGCTCGTGCAGTGCTGTGTGAGTGGGTGGGGGGTTGGGAGTGTGGGAGGGGAGGTTGAAGTCAAGGAGCAGATGGCAGCGCTGCTGCAGTGCTGTGTGAGTGTGGGAGGTGAGGGGTAGAAAGGGGGTGGGGCCTGCTGTGTGAGTGGGGGTGTTGGGATGGGTGGTGCCTTTTGTGTGAGTGAATGATGAGCCAATAATGGTGCCTGCTGTGTGAGTGGGTGTTGGGGGATTTTCCTCTGGACTTGCGTCTCACATGCTCTTCATTCATTTTTCTCTCCCCCCCCCTGCCCTCCCCCCTGTCTGCAGTCCCTCTACCTCCCCTCGTGGCACCAGCTGCAATGTCACAAGTTGACTGAAAAGTCTCTAATCACACTCATCTAATCACAATCAATCCTTTGTCTGCCCCCTTGTTCTACCCCCTTCCTGCAGTCCCTCTACCTCCCCTCGTGGCATCAACTGCAATGGCACAAGGCGGCAGCACAAGTCTCAAGCACAGCAGCGGCAGATACCTGGACCAACACTCTCCTCCTCCTCTCCCACTGCCCCCTCCTCCCCTCACACACCCCCTCCCCCTCACTCCCCTCTCTAGCCCACACCCCTCCCTCTCCTCCCCTTCCGCCTCCGCCTCTCCTCCTCCTCGTCCCCTTGGGATCCGATGCAGCAGCAGAGATGCATGAGAAGGGAGCAGCGCTAGACTCAATCACTCCCCATCTGCGCTCCTCCCTCGGCCTATCAAACCCTAACGCCGCCCCCTCGCAAGCGCAATCATCCCGCGTTTCTTCGGCCGCTACACCCCAAGGGGTGTCCCTCTCGGGTCTATTGAGTCAACTCCCTCCCCCCATGTCCACCCCGCCTGTGGTTGACCCGGTCAACGCGAGTCAACGCAGTGCCGAGGCGCTTGACTGTGCGCTGCAGCTGCTGCAGGTGTGGGGTGAGGGCGGGGAGGGGAGGAAGGTGTGGGAGTGGGTCGGGATGGTGGTGAGTGCGGTGGAGAGGTGTGGGAATGGGGAGAGGGAGGGAGGTGTAGGAGATGAAGAGGACGGGAGCAAGGGACAGGGAGGAGGGGCGGTGGAGGAAGGAGAAATTAATGGAGAAGAAATGGCAGCAGCACTAACAGCGGCGCCAACAGCAGCACCAACAGAGGCACCAACAGCAGCAGTAGCAGCAGAAGCGTTACTATCCTGCCTCACACCGCTTGATGCTGCTGTCTTTTTCCTCTCCGCCGCCCACCTCCTCTCCGCCGGCCGCTTTCCTGACACTGTAGCAGCCAAGATCGGATTCAGGCAAGATTTGATTTCGCTGGTGGACATGCCCTGGGCGGCAGGTTGTCAGCATGTGGGGTGGGTGTTGCCTGAGGGAGAGCAAATGGTTGGGGCTGTTCTGGAAGCTGCAAGGAAGTTTCTTGCGATGAAGGCCAGAGAAGCGGTGGAGGAGAGGCAGCAAGGAGAGAAAGAAAGAGGGAAAGAGCAAGAAGGAGGGCGAGAGGGCGAGGGGTTGCTGTTGGCACGTGTTGCTGTTGCAATCTCCCTGGTAAGATATGCAGCCTGCAACAGACAGCCAGGTGTTTCCTCAGGTGTGGCTTCAGGTGCTGACGGTCCTTCTCCTCCTGTTTCATCCCCTCTACAGTCTGATTCGTTATCCTCTTCTGTATACGCAGCCACTTTAGAAGCTGTTGGTAGTGTTTTGAAGGAGCTGTTATGGGGAGAAGGCAAGGATGCGAGCGATTTGGGACTTAGTATGGGAGATGCTTATAAGGAGTATGAGATGCTGGTTGAGCTAGTGGTGGTGTGTGTGTGGGCGCTGGCAGAAACAGGGGGGGCAGAGGGAGTAAGGGAGGGAGTGAGAGTGTGGGAACGAGCAGAGAACGCGCTTTTTGGTGGCAAAGGGGAGGAGGAAAGGAAGGAGGGTGGGGGAGAGGAGGGAAGGAAGGAGGGAGGAAGGGCAGAGGAGGGAGATGGAGGGGAAGAAAGCGAGGGGGATGAGAGAGGGGGGAGTGGAGGACGAGGGAGGGGGAGGGGTGGGAAGAGGGCGAAAGGGCAAGGGAGAGGAAGAGGGAGAGGGAGAGGCAAGAAAGGAAAAGCAGCGGCAGCAGCAGAAGCAGAGGCAGCAGCAGCAGCAGCCGCCGAAGCAGAAGCAGCAGCGGCGGCAGCAGCAGCAGAGGCTGCAGCGGCAGCAAGAGCTGCTGCATATTGCCGATTCATCTTCTTCCGAGCTCTCTTCTCCCTCCAGTACTGCCAAACGGAGCCGCCCAGCCTGCACGAGCAGCAGGCTAACACCCAGGCAACGGGCGGCACTGGTGGTGTTTTCCAGTCCCAGCTGGCAACGGGCGGCACTGGTGGTGGTGGTGGTGCAGTGTATGGGCTCATGTGTCGCTCTCTGCGCGACTTGCTCCACTCTAGAGATCTTGTAGTGTCGCCGTCTCTCGCAGCTGTTGCAGCTGGTGCTGATAATGCTGCTGGTGCTGCTGCTGCTGGCGCTGATGATGGGGTTTGCATGGATATGGAAAGCAGTGCTACTAAGCTTGCAGCAGCAGCGGCGAGTGCAGCAGTGAGGGAGGCAGTGAGGAGCGGGGGTTACCTGCATGTGAGGGATTCTGTCCATTGGGCCCTCGCTCTTGCTGCTGCTCATCCTTCCGCTGCCGCCCACTCTCCCACTGCTGCTCACACTCCCACTGCTCTTAATCCTTCAGCCTCTGTTGACCCTTCCGGTTCCCATCCCTCCACTGCCCCTTCTCTGGACTCTTCCGTCCCTCCTCCCCACCCCCCTCTCTCCATCCCTTCTCTCCTCCGTTGGGCTCAATCACACTCACTCCTCCACCACCTCCTCCCTCCTCTCCGCCCTCTCTTCCCCTCCTCTTCCCTCACACCATCAACCAGCCACCTCCCCTCCCCCTCATCTCCCTTCACCTCGGAATACCTTCCTCAGGTGCAACAGGCCCTCTCGTTCCTCCTAGGCCCTCCCAATTCCGACTTCTCTCTCCTCAACACGTGTCTGGGGATCGGCTTTGCTCCTTCAGTCATTTCTCTCGCTGCTCCTGCTCCTGCTCCTGCTCCTGCTCCTGCTCCTGCTCCTGCTCCTGCTCCTGCTCCTGCTCCTGCTCCTGCTCCTGCTCCTGCTCATGCTCCTGCTCATGCTCCTGCTCCTGCTCCTGCTCATGCTCCTGCTCCTGCTTCGAGTGCTCTTTCTCGCACCCCATCTTTTCCTCCTAATCACCCCGAAGAGGCTCGGCAGCTAGAGCAGGCTCGGCAAACCCTGGACCTCCTGCCTCGGAACGTGCCTCTTGCCCGAACCTACCTACACCTCCTGTTTGGTAACATCCTCCCGAACGTGCTCCAAGCCACGGCTGCTGCAACGGCTGCAGCTTCGGAAGCTGCTTCGAAGCCAAAGCCGAAGCAGAAAGGGAGGTCCGGCGAAGGTACCGAGCCTGTTACACTACCACCGACCGTCAACCCGTCCCAACTGACCCATGCGGTTACCGTGTTACTAACGGCGTTGCAGCAGGGGGGAGGGGGGGTGGGAGCAGCAGCAGGGGGGGCGGGGTCGGGTCATCCTGGCTGGGAGGCGGAATGGACGGTGCTAATCGACGTTGTGGATGTGATCATGGTGAATCGGACGGCTGCGTGCGCGATGGCTCGTGTGGCTGTGGCTATCCACCCTCTGTCGAAGCAACTGCAGGATAGAGAGGTGGGCGGACCGTGGGGGGGAAGAAGGGGGAGGAGGGGAAAAGAGTTTTGGGGCTGGGAAGAGTTGGAGAGTGGAGAAAGAGTGGGGAAGGGAAGGGTAGGAACTGGAGGGCTGTTGTAAGGCTGTATAACATTTCATTTATGTGTTGATGCAGGCTTTTAACTCTGTTTTTTGTGTGCCTTTCTGTTTGTGGTTGTGTTTGTATGTCTCTTATGGTGTGGGGTGGGTGTATTTGTGGGGGAATGAGGCAGGGGGGTGGGCGGGTGTTTGTGTGATTTTGGGGGATTGGGGAGGGGCAAGAAGAGGATGTGGGGAATTTGACGCTTGTTGTTGTGTGTGTGTATGGTGGTGGGGGCTGACCCATGCTTGTGCATGTTGGGTTGTGGTGTGTGTGTGTGGTGAGCGAGTGTTTGTGTGTGCCTACCTTGGGTGTGCGAAACTTCATGTGTGCGTGTGGATGCAAGGGGAAGGTTGAGTCACAAATGGGCATGCTTGTGCGGATGTGCGCAATTGTGTGTGTACGTGTGTGCGAGCCTGTGCTTGTGCATGTGCATGTGCATGTGCATGTGCATGTGCATGTGCATGTGTGCGTGCGCATGTGCATGCATGGTGTGCGCATTGTGATGGGTGTGTGTGTGTGTGCGTTTATGTGTGCGTGCGTGCGTGTGTGTGTCTGTGCTACTGTGACAGGCAAAGCTCAACCCAAAAGCAACACAGAAGAGGGAGAAAGCCCAAGCCCATCCCACCAACCGTTATGCGTGAGCTCAGTGCGGTGCAGAGCAGTCCAAAGGGTGAGAAAGGCAGAGCAGCACAGAGCAATGCCGTGCAAAAGCGGCACAGAAGAGGGAGCAAGCCCAAATTTATGCCGCCAATCAGTATGCATGAGCTCAGCAGGACAAGGCACGCCAGGGAAGAGCAGGGCAGGGAAGAGTGTTGCAGTGCTGTGCAGAATGGTGCATTGCGGTGAAGAGGGTGAAGAGGGCAACACACCGATTGTGGAGGAGATGGGCCAGAAGCACCCACTTATGGACGGGTAAGGCGCAAGGGGCAAGCCCCTGTTAAGGTGAGTAGGTCGCAAAGGGTGCAGTAAGTCCGGCTAAGAGTTTCATGACACCCTTTATCAGGTTGTTTGGTTTGATGAGGTTATTTCATGGGTAAGGTTTGAGGTGCAGTGTGGCTGAGACTGAGAGAGCGGCAGAGGTTTACCAAGAGGTTGTGCGTGCTTGCAGTGGATAGGTGTGTGGTTGCATTGGGTAGGTGCGCGGGAGGAGCGCTGGGGGTTTTTTAAGCTAGACTGCTGAAAAAATGCATGGAGTGCTGAGAAGGGGAGGTGGAGAGAAGAGTGTGAGAAGGGTGGGTCCGTTGGTCACTGAAAAAAGAAAGGAAAAAAAACAAATCTTAAGGGCCGAGCGACCTTATGTTGAAAAGAAGGCTGGGTGCTAAGTGGGAGGATGTTGAGATGTGATCTTGGTGGGGAGAAGATATGAAGCTCATTGGTAGTCACTATTGAAAACGAAAAAAGAAAAGTGAGGTATGTCATGGTAGGAAGCTGTGAGGTATGTTAGGAAGCTCAATTTCCCCTCTCGTCTTTCCTTCTCTTTCCTCCCTTCCCATCACTCCCACCGTTCCGTTTTTTGCGTAATCAGTGTGTCCTCCAAGGTGCAAAGAGGGGAGAGTTGGGAGAGAGAAGGGGTGTGAGGCCGAGAGGGAGAGGGGGCAAGGGGAAGAGGGAGGATGAGGACGAGAGTGTGTGTGTTGTGTGTGTTTGTGTGAAAGAGAGAGGGGATGCATGTTTGTCGGTTGTTGATTCAGCCGGTGTAGTAGTGCGAGGAGGGAGAGAGGGTCAGGGGAAAAGAGGACCTAACCTGTGCTCTGTCTTGCAGGGTCATTCTTGAGTCAACTCTAGAGTTACCAGGAATGTTGCTGCTGCCACCACCACCAGCAGCACCACCAGCATCAGCACCATCATCATCATCATCAGCAGCAGCAAGGAGCAACAGCATTAGCAGCACCACTACAACTATTACCATTACCACCATTACCACCACCACCATCAGCAGCAGCACTAACAGCACCACCACCACCATCATCGCCACCACTAACAACAGCACAGCCCCACCACCAGCTATGTGTGCTTATCTCACACTTGTATGCATTTTCAAATTCAACATTACTTGTCTTCAGCTTTCATTTCCTGTCTGAAGTAGCGGACGCATGCATGTGCATGTGAGACATTGAATGTTGACATCAAAACATCTTTTTTTCCTTGTTTTATTTTTTCAACTTGTTTTAAAAACTGAGTGCTGGTTTTCCTAGTGTTGTAGCAGCTGAACTTAGATGATAGTCATCACGTGAGAAACTATAGTGCACTAGTCCACCGTGCCTTAATAAGGTAATACATTCGGACGAGGACATCCGTTACGGTACGTATGTGTCACAAAGGCAGTGTACCACTCTACTCCGCATCACACCTAAATAGCAAATGTTTCCACTGCAATGTATCTAGTCACTTACGAGCGAGGCTTTTGTGAAGCATGTCCCAGATGTACCCTAAGAAAAAAATGCTACACACATCAATATAAACAAATGGAGCGGACACTAGGACTGCCATCATTGCTGCAAGACTTGACGCATGCAGACACTGCTGTTGCAGCTCCTCCTGCTGCTCATGCGACTATTCATGCACCAGCTGATGCCATTACCGTTGATGCCACAACTGCTGATTTAATGCTGCAAGTGTTCGCAGGAACTTGCAGCAGAGCCTGCTGTAGGGCTATGAGCCTATGAGTGACTGCAACCACTGCAGTACTGCGCATTGAGCTTCATGCCTGTAGATACGGCCATGCCAGGAGACAGTCAGTCTCATTAGCAGTCGTGTAAGCAGTAGTGCAGCGGCTCTCCAGCGGCTTTCCAGCAGTTATGTAACAGTCTTTCAGCAACCTTGCAGTGGAGTTGCAGCAATCGTTTTTGGCCAGCTTCTATCTCTAGAGAGACACTGTCAGCGCTTGCTGCTGCTGCCAATGCTGGGTGACTCCTGAAATCACTGCTCCCGATGCTGAGTCGACTCAAAAATCACTTGCAGCCAGCTTCTCTCTCTCTAGAGAGATACTGTCAGCGCTTGCTGCTGCTCCTGCTGCTGATGACGCTGCTGGTGGTGTAACAGACTACTGAAATATCCACCCCTGAACCCCTGAAAGAGAGATCGTCTAGCAGCCGATGGTGAGGTGGGTCGGGAGGGGACTGGAGAGGAGGCAGCAGAGGAGGCAGGAGAGGAAGAGGAGGAGGAGGAGGGGGATGTGTCTGTGTCTGGTGAGAGGTCCAGATCGAGTGCCACGTCAGCAGGTCCTGCGCCTGATCTGAAGCGCGATGCTGACGTGTTGAAGCGGGATTGGAGGAGGAGAGAGAGCCGAGTGGCAGCCTCGGCTGCTTCTGCCTCGGCGAATTCCTGCTGGAACGATAATCAGGGAAGAGAAAAGGTGGGTGTTGTTTTTTGTGGGAAGTGGGGGAAAGGGGGTGAGGAGAGAGGAAGAGTTGAGTTGGTTGATACGGTAAGAATGTGTGCAGTAGCAAGTGTTGAATGTTAAATCCGATGGGCAGAGCGGGAACAGAGAGCGGTTGAGACGGGAACATGCAAGCACATGGAGTCAAGCACACGGAGTCAAATCTACCATACCCACACGGTGCAAACTTCTGAGCCACACTCCCCCTGAACCCACCACCCGCCCCACCAACACCCACCAGCCATCCACTTGGCGGTATCGGTCGTGGATGGCAACGAGGGCGCACCACACCCACTCCCATCACCACCCCACCCCACCACTGCGCAAACCACCAACAGCCCCACCCCCATGGCGGTATCGGTCGTGGATGGCAGCGAGGGCGTACCACACCCACTGCCCCATCACCACCCCACCCCACCACTGCACAAACCACCGTCACCCAGCCCCACCCACCTGGCGGTAGCGGTCGTGAATGGCAGCGAGGGCGCGCGCTAGGATGAAGCACGGCAGCAGAATGCCGAGCAGCTGCATCAGAAAAATCTGCAGAGGAAGAGGAAGGGGGGGGGGGAGGAAAACGGCAGCAGGGAGGGGGGGAAAGGGGGTGGGGACGGGAAAGGGATGGGAAAAGGGAAGGGCGAGGATGAAGCAGAGCAGCAGAATGCCAAGCAGCTGCATTAGAAAAATCTGGGGGGGGAGGGGGGAGGTGAAGGTGGGGCGGGGCGGGGCGGGGGGATGAGGGGAGGGGAGGAAAAAGGGGGAGGCGGAAAAAGGAGGGAGGGGTTGGGAGTGTGGGGGTGGGGGGAGGTGGAGGGGAGGTGGAGGGGAAGACGACGGTAAGTGGGAAGGGGGAACGGAAGGAGGATGAAACAAGGCAGCATACAGTCGCACAGCCACACAGTCGCACTGCCATAGAGTTGCACAGCCATACCGTCGCACAGCCATACCATCGCACAGCCATACCGTCGCACAGCCATACCGTCGCACAGCCATACCGTCGCACAGCCATACCGTCGCACAGCCATACCGTCGCACAGCCATACCGTCGCAAAGCCATACCGTCGCAAAGCCATACCGTCGCACAGCCATACCGTCGCACAGCCATACCATCGCACAGCCATACCATCGCACAGCCATACCGTCGCACAGCCATACCATCACACAGCCATACCGTCGCACAGCCATACCGTCGCACAGCCATACCGTGAACTCTGCCGAGTCTTCGTCAACGTCGTCGTCGTCGCCACTCGCCTCCAGCACGAGTGCGAAGAAGTGCCGCGCAAATATTAGAAGTAGAACCTGCGAGCATGGGGGGGAAGACGGGTAAATTGTGAATTGTGAATCGTAAATTATAATCGAGCGGCTAACAACGAAAAGAACGCTCGATGATAAATGGGCAGCTGTTACCAGATTCACGTACTGAAAAAAAGACGAGTAGTTGATAAGAAAACATCCACTTACGATGATAATGAGCGACTTTAAGCAGCTGACGGTCGCCGGCTCCGGGATTTCCGGCGCCGCGGGCGCGGACGCGAAGTCCTCGAGGCCGAAGCGCAGCTCCTCGCCCGTCACCGCGTCGCGGAACGTGACGATGTGGCTCAGCTGCCCCGCGCCGTCGCGGAATTGCAGCGCCACGAGCCCCGGCGTGATTGGCGGAGAGGCGGGCGGCGGCGGCGCGGTGTAGCCCTCTTTGAACGGCTGGAAGGGGATCAGGGTTGCGGAACGAGGGGAGCGGAAGGGGAGGGGCGGAACGGGGGGAGGGCAGAACGGCGGGGAACGAGACAAGGTGATTAGAAAGGATCTGTCAGCATGGTGGTGGGGAAGAGGATAGAGGTGGGGAAGAGGACAGAGGTGGGGAACAGGACAGAGGTGGGGAAGAGGACAGAGGTGGGGAAGAGGATAGAGGTGGGGAAGAGGACAGAGGTGGGGAAGAGGACAGAGGTGGGGAAGAGGACAGAGGTGGGGAAGAGGACAGAGGTGGGGAAGAGGACAGAGGTGGGGAAGAGGACAGAGGTGGGGAGGTGCGACCGTCTTTGACGAATGACAACATGAGGAGCGTAGGTGCATAAACATGAATACGGAAAAAAACCGGGGACAAAATAAAACAGAAACAAAAAGTGGGGGGTTGAAGGAGGGGAGGGGAGGGAAGGGAAGGGCGCGGGGAGGGGGGGAAGGGGGGGAGGGAAGGGGGGTGGGGGAGGAAGGGAATGGGGAAGGAGGGTGTGGCGAATTACGGAATGTCCAAAGACGAATACTTTGCAGCCGCGAGTATGCGACTTGGCAGACGAGTAATGCGGAATGGTACAAGACACACGTACTGAGACGTTAGGCACGGAGGAAAAACTTACGTGATGGCAGATTTCGCACTGCGTGTTGCCCTTCTCGTTGCACCACCTCTGGATGCAATCGTGATGCGCGTACTGCAGCGACTCAACAACGGGGACGTGGGCATTTACGAGCATTAGATGAGCGCCGAAAACTCCCCATGGCAAGATCCTATAGAAAGGCAACAAACGGAAGACTACGACATATTAATCTACAAGCGCAAAAGCCGAGAGTACCTTGAGACTACCGGAGCACGCGCACGGGACATCCAGCTTTGACACGTCATCCTCTTCCTGACAAATACGGCACTCCTTGGCGTCGCGATCTTCAAACGACACACTTTGAGGCTCGTAAACGGTCGCATGCTCGGAAAGCGAGTCCTTGCCATGGCTGCTGCTTATAACTCCTCCATCACTGCAGCTGGTGCCTATGCTGCTAGGGATCGTGTCGCTGTCACTCGAGTCGCTGGTGCTTGTGGTGCTAACACTAGCGCTGCTTCTGCTGGTTCGACTGGCGCAGGCGCTGCTGTTTTCACTACTTTGCCTCCTAACCAACGGTTGCGATTCCACCTCCTGCTGCGAGCTGTATTCCACGTCAGGCTCGTCCGATTGGGTCTCGGTATACTGCGATTCGACTTCTTGCTGCTGACGTGGATTGGTTGAAACTGGTAAGCCTGCGTTATGGGGTTGCAAGTCGCGGCTGCTGTGCCGGCCAGTGCTGCTGCTGTCTACCGTTGTTGAAGTCATTCGAAACTACTGCTTTACTGAGCTTAGGTAAGGTAAACGCATACGAGCAACGAAAGTGAACAAGGTTGTTTGCTTCCTAAGAAACCAATCTGCAGGTTACTCACCAAGGCCTACTCAGCGCAACTAAATACACAAAGAGTGTTCAAAGGCTCCGACGTTCACGTCCGGTCCGACCAAACAGGAGCAGCGTTGTCGGCGCGAAAGCGCTAAGCTAGCAAAAAGTAATCGTAATTCGACCTGCAATCACGTCTTGCGTAGGAATAGCTAAGCTGAGCAGAGGGCAAGCAAAGCGGGGAGGGAGCACGGCAAACGTTCCCCTGAAAACAATCCCGAGAATTACGTGGAACAGACGCACAGCTGGAAGGGGAGGTTCGGATGGAGGTTGGGGGTTGAAACAGAAACGACAGCCATCCGGTTCGGGATAAGTCTGGCTAGGCGACACAGGCTCGGATATCAACACTGCGGCGATGTCCGTGACTGCTGCTGGGGAAAGACAGTGTGACGACGTCCGTGACTGTAACGGGAGATTTCTAGGACTGTAACGTATGGATGCGACGGAATTTGAAGCTTCGGTTCGGTGTAGACTTCATAGGCACAGCTGGAAAGCGCGCTGAGCCCAAGGAGAGAAACGAAGTTGACGTGCTCGACGTCAAGCCGAGCCGGCTCCGGCTCACACATGAGGAAGGAATGAGGTGCCGGCCATTTTCAGGTGCATGCCACTTAGTCAAGGCGCGCTATTCAGTTGCATGCCAGGTTGCGTACACTATTATCAGGTTAAACATTTCTTCCGTAAAGAGACAAACTTTTCAAGATTCCATTCAAATTGGCACTAAAGGTCTGAAATAGCTTCAATTTCGGGCTACGCAAATCGGAATCGGAATGTTTGGCTCTCGATGCTGCATTTTCTGACGTCACTCAGTGCAATGATTGCTTTTCTGCCCAATTTCTGCGCAAATCTTTGCTACGCACCAGCTCTTTTTGAACGAATTGTAATGCTAAATCGTGTGTACTTTTGGCGCAGGTGGCGGACGCTTCGCGGGTCAAATCAGCAAACCCTAGTGGGACGTGCGTTACTTGGAAAGGGTAATCCGAAACACGAGAAACATGCCCGAGTGCTAGAAAGAGTTAACCCTACCGTTATTAAGGATATATCATACGTTAGATGTGTATTTAATGACACGTAATTAACGCCATGGTATACCACTTGTTTCAATATACATGTACGGCAAAACATTTATTTTGGTAGAGGAAAATTTTACAAACACTCACGAAGGGTTTGCTGATTTGCCATGCGCAGCGACCGTCATCTGCGTAAACAGTACAACAGATCTAGCATTAGATTCGTTCAAGAAGTGCTGGTGCGAAGCAGAAATTCGCGTAGAAATTGGGCAGAAATGCAATCATTGCACTGAGTGACGTCAGAAAATGCAGCATCGAGAGCCAACCATTCCGATTCCAATTTGCGTAGCCCGAAATTGCATCTATTTCAGACCTTTAGTGCCAATTTGAATCGAATCTTGAAAAGCTGGTTCGGTTACAGGAGACATTGTTTAACCTGAAAATAGTGTACGCAACCTGGTATGCACTTGAATAGCGCGCCTCGGCTAAGTGGCATGCACCTGAAAATGGCCGATGAGGTGCTGTAGTTGATGGGCGATGGCGGGGCAAGCCATGGTTGCGACGGGACAGTTCCCAAGCGAGAAACACCATCGCCGTCGTTAGCAAGCCTCGGCGAACCTGAGCATCTGCGGAACAAAATTGTCAGGTGCCCTGCTTGAGAATGTTCGACTTCGTCCACAATCTATTCAAAAGCGGTAAAAGAAAATTTCCAGCATAACCACACAAAATGGCAAAAAAAACTATAGAATTATTTAACAATTGATCAGATTAATATCCAGAAGAAAGCCAGAAAACCAAGGTCGCATATCTTTTCCAGCAGCTAAGTTAAACCACCAAGACACAGGCACAGTTTTGCAGCACTTCACATCCAGTCCTTCACATCACACTGTTGCCACAGGTAATAGACTGCTGGTCCACAGGGGGGTTCTGCACAGGCTATCCTGTTGGCAATCCGCTTCTGTGATGTGAGGGCCCGGAAAATCCGCCAGGAGTGCAGTTCAGCATCTCAGCACCCTGTCCGCAAGTCACTCATACATGTTTTGTTGCATGCTGGTTTGAACATTGTTGCATTTCTGTATAAGGCGTACTTGCTGCCCAGGGTGAACTTGTAGTACGCTGCCGTTCTGCTACAGAGGTAATCACAGGTGTACTGCAGGAACAACGGGAAAAAAAAAACAAAAACAAAAACAAATCAGAGTTGAGTGATTGAACGAAATTAAGCGACTTCCAAGTACCGAAAAAAAAAAAGGGACACAGGGAGCGGAGGGGGGCCAGCATGGGGGGGGAGGTTGAGAAAGAGCATGCACAGAGACATTGGAAAGAAAGTGGGAGGGAGGAACGGGCGACCGGGATTGAACTCACCAGCAAGCATTCACACTGGGATTTGAAGACCCATGGGCAGTAGTAGAAATAATCCGGAGTAAGAGGCCAGGTTGGGAACGGGCACATGCCGGGCGGCGCCGGGCACGTGTTTGGAATCGGATCTATGGCCGTCCGGTTCTGGCAGATCCCCTCGTTGCACAGGTTGCACGGCCCAGATCGCACCAGCGGCAGGGCAAAGCTGAGCACCGCATGACACACCGACTTGTAAGTCACATAGTCTGCCCCGCAGACGGGGAGCGAATCCGCGCAAATGTCTCCAGCGATCTTTCTCGTGCAGGGGATGAGGATCATTTGGCTGGGCGTGATCGACTGGTCTGTGCAGTCTGGGAAGGAGTTTGAGGAGCAGATATCCGCGGGGAACGTGTTGTTGGGACACATGGAGGCGTATTGCTGTGAGATGGACGTGAGCGTGTCATTCACCCCCACAGAGTAGGGGATCACGTTCGGGGAGAGCGGGTACTTGGTCATGGACTGTGTTGTGCCGTTCACACACACTTTCTGCCCGATTTGGAGGTACGGAGGGTAGCACTGCAGGAGGGTGCGTGGGCAACGCAAGAGAGGAGACATCGGAAGGAGGGAAGGTGGTGGTGAGGAGAACTGGGAAGCCTTGCTGCAAACGGAGACCCGAAAAAAGCCGAAATGCGTTTCAGGGAAGGTGATGAGGCGACAGGGTCACAGCAAGGCAAGAGAGAGAGAAGAGAGGAAGAGAGAAGGAAGAGAGAAGGAAGAGAGAAGGAAGACGTACCCTGAGGCCCGGGTTGAGGCGGAGGAACTGATTGACTGTGAGACCCACTGAGTTGGCCATTAGAGGACACGTGTCCGCCTGTGTGACTGTGTACCATGCCGAGCAGTCCACCGTGACGAACTGCAGCGAATGGGGGACGGGAAAGGGGAGGCGGGGGAGGCGGGGGGAGGGGGACGGGGAGAGGAGGTAGATTGATGAAGCGTCTGAGAAGAAGGGACACGAGGTGGAGGGCTTGGAGGCAGCAGCAGAATGCGAGCGCATTGGCAACGCATTGAGCACTCGCTCGGAGCGTTTACAAGAGTGGGTGAGGTGAGGGGGTGGAAAGAGGGGAGTGAGGGGAAGATGCAGGAATGGGTGGGAAGGATGGTGGAGGGGGTGGTGTTAGGGAGTGGACGAGAGGCGGGAAGGAGGGGAAAGGGGGGAAGAAGTTACCTCTGTGGTGAGGGGAGCCACACAGACGGCAATGGCATTGTTGATTGGGTTGTCATCACACCGGAGCCCTGGATTCAACCTGCACATGGTTGGCAACACAGGAAGCAGGAGAGACGAGCGGATTCAGTCTGAAAATGTTGGCAATACAGAAAGCAACCGGCACACGGCACGACACATGGCGCAGCAAAGGATGGCATGGCATGGCACATGGCACAGCACAGCATGAGACACGGCATGGCATGGCACGCACCAGAGGAAATCTAGAAGCGAGATGTTGAATCCGCGGGCGATGTCCACGCATCGATCCTGTGGTCCCACGTTGTACACTCGCCCGCACGAACGGATCAGGGGCGACGTGGACGACAGAGCGCCCGGCGCGACGCACAGCATCTGCGAACGCTGCAGCGACACGTTGCAGTTGAGGGTCGGGTTGATCCCTAACAACTGGCGTACAGTGATATTGTTGCGCGCAGCAATTGTGCTACAAGAGTCGGTAGGGTTGACTATATCCATCGCGGAGCAGCCTATAGTCGTGTTTGTAGAACCGACGAGGATGACGTAACCCGGGGTGAGTGGTTGGGAGCAGTCGAGGAACGGATTCTTGGTTTGGAGAAAGTCTATGGTGAATCCGAACGTGCTGGCGACGGTTTGGCAGGTGTCGCCTAGCAGAATTGTGTAGGTTTGGAGGCCCGATTGGAACGTGCCGAGAACA